CGGCCTGGCTAGGCCGAGGGAAGGTACAGACCCCCAAGGCGGAACGCTGTACAGGCTCCCCAGATTGACGAAATTACTGAGTACCGGTCGACGAGACATGGCTGCTGCCAAGGGTGCCGCGGTCCTAAGCCTAACTTTGTGTTCTACAGTATGTTTCGCGAATGACAAGTACTCTCTTTGCGGCGGCGGCGAATCGTGATGCGTTCAGGGTATGCAGGCGACACGGCCATGGCAAGTTGTTAGACTCCGCGGGTAGGGTAGGATAGGGCTAGGGCTATCGAAAAGCGACGAAGCGCATAGCAGGCGACCGCGTCCGCACGTGGAATTATGCAGCTAGACAAGACCATCAGCTTCGCTGTGCAGACTGCCTGCCTCGGCGCAGAAGCGGACGCTGGCATATGACAGACATGGCAGAGACGTACCTCGTGGTTGCTGCAACACTGGTGTGGTGGCTTCGAAGGATTCACGATGCAGCACCCAGATTATTGCGCACGAGCCCGTTTGAGTCGGGTGTACCGATCCGCCACTACCCCTTCGTTGATCGACATGTATCTTAATTGCACCTCACGTTGAGTTTTTACCTCGTCATACCCCTCCTTCTCCGGGCAATCGACATGGTTCAAATTTCGTTGTACTCGTCAAATTTCTCCTTACTTGCAACCGCATCTTCCTACATTCCCGTCCATCACACTCACCACTACAAATGCACAACTGGATACCTCACAACACAAATCGACGAAGAACAACCCAGTCTTTTCATAATCTTCTGATCAAGCATGTGCATGGCATATTTCAGCCCGGCTGCCATCTAATACTTTACCCAAAGACCATGTCGTTGCGGTCAAAATAGTGACAGCCTGGTGACATATCGCATCGTCAACCCATCAACGCCAAATAATTTTCCCGCCTCGACTTTCACTTCAGAAATCAAAAGTAGCGCAAGCCATCATCATGGCCGTTTGTCCATGAGCGAACATGGTCCTGGAACCCCGGCCCACTCTATCGAGCGAACCAGTCGTTGCATCTGCAGAGCAAGTGGTGCCAGATGACACGGTCCGATCGGGTATGTTTGCCGGGCTTTTATATGACGATCCATGATCTATCTCGCCGTGCGAGAACACGGTTGACCAGTTCCTCTCGCCCGCCATCTAGTATAAGCCTCGTGTTCACGCCGCGTCCTGCTTCTCAACTATGCTATCTATCGCCATCGACCGAGTGGAAGGAGTAGTTGGTGTCGGCGGTGCCTTTGCTTCAGCCTTGACGGGAGTAATTTGAGGCTGCGGCTGTGGCGGTGACTGTAGTTGCCCCGCGGGCATACTCTGAGTCGGCGACAAGGACATGGAAGCATCGTCCTCGGTAGGTTCATTCTCTTCTCCGATTATCTCGTCTACTTCTCGCAGCCAGTTGGCTTTGAGGACCTCCATGGGAGGATCCAGGTCGCCAGGTTTCCCACCGCGTCGAGCCTCCGCTGCAGTCATCTTCCTCTCCCCGCGTTTGTGAGGGTGAAAGTGCATGCGTCGGAGGTGGCTTGCGGCATTGTAGCATTCGTTGTACCTCTTTCCAGTCTGGCATGCCTTACAGTTGGCCAGGAATGACTTGTCGGGTGAAGTGTCGATGGTCACCCAGACTTTACGTGCTTTTTTGTGGACGCGGTTGGTATGACGTCGCAGCTCATGCTCACTGCGGAAGCCATCGGGATAGTCCGAGCAGACGGGGCACTTTAGTCGCAATACTCTGCGTGATGGAGGTTTGGAGCCCGCTTCGAATGTCGGCGAAGTGTTAGGCGTAGTCTCAACGCTTGGTGCTGTCACAATGGTTTCCCTTGGGGCTGGAGCTGGCTCTATTGGTTCGCTAGCTTTGGTATCCGTGACGGTAGGGGTATTGGTCGGCGCATCTTCTTTCATCCTGGCTCTGGTTCTTGTTGGAGGCATAAACCTGACGGCACTTGATAATGTCCAGATAGGATCCGGCCCGGCTGGAATACTGTTGTTCTGTGCGATTCTGTTCCGCGGTCCGATACAGTCGAACGTTGGGGAGGCTCGCTTGGTGGGGCGAGTATTATCGCTCTAACGGCAGCTAAATCCGACAGGTTTAGAGAATGGCAAGTGGAATCCTGGGGTACTAGGGACGTGTGATGTGTTTCCAAGTCGATCAGGGAAGCGCGGGGGGCCAGGCAGCAAGATATCCCGATTTTCGCTGGGCCCAGTGGAGTGCGCACGAGGCTGGAATGGCGCAGTCAGCCTCGTTTCCCATCGTGAGTGGGCGAGCCTTGAGCTGCAAGCCACGCTATAAACGGCAAGCTGGCGAGCTGGGTGCTTATTGGATCTGCTGCCTCAGGCTGAACGACTTCTGCTGAGTGCCATGGCGAATCAAGTGACGGAACCCTGTAAAGCTGGGCCAGATAATCAAAAGGAACGAAGGATGCCGCCAAAACCCTGCTCGGATCATTCCGCCTCGCGACGAACTGCAAGTCCAAGAGCGCGGAGGGTGTCGGGCTTGCTAGGGGGAGCGAGCTGTCGTGGTTCATGGCTGGATCATGCTTTTCCTATTTAGAAGTTCCGGTCGCGACCGAATCTCGCAACACCGAACCTAGACATTGACAATTCACATGGCATCATCACCCGACATTAGTACATCCCTTCTGGATACTTCTGGCAAGATGGCATCAGCATCTACCGCCCTTTGCTCTCGTCTTTTTCCTTGTTCAGCCTTGCTCCGGCCAAGTACCGGAAGACGCCTTTTTGGCTGGCCCAAGCGGAGCCGAGGTTTTGGGCGAATCAGCGACCGAAGGAATTTGCTTGCTTTACGAGGAGTCGCCGATTCAACGACCCAATTGGTGCTTCGTCAAGCCTCGATTCCAGCTGTAGAGGCATCGTCTGCACCTAGGAAGCACGACGTCCCCGTCATTCTCGATCGGCTGCAGCCTTCTTCAACTGGCTCATGTTGGTCTTGCACTCTCCGTCTTGCACGTCTGAGCAGGTGGGGCGCAATTCGACTGTACGAAGGCATTGATCCTTCGCCTTGCTCAAGTCAGACTAGGTTGCCAGCTTCGATATGCGGTATATGGGCACTACACGTAAGATCGGTCCACACCTGGTCTGAGGCTGACGTCCAACAGCCACGAAACTTTATCCACCGTCTGGCATGTGAGGACCCTACCGCGGGCATGGTACCCATCTTGGCCGCCATCAGAGCATTGACCGCGAAACATCAGACATGCTTTGTTGAACCAATGCCAATTGCGATATGCCTTGCCTTGAGGCATGCTATGGAGATGATTTCTGTTTGATTCGCTTCTGACGTTGTTCCGATGCTACTCTGACAGGCTTCAGCGCGCTACATGTCAGCCTTCCCGCCCGACGCTCAACGCACGCGCCCTACGTAGGCAAAAGGTGCGAGAAACGCTTATCGATTCGTAAGCCTTCTAGCCTGCATAGGGCTGGATCCACGTTTCAGGTCTCGAAAAGCCCGTCACTTTTGTGAAGTACAGGAAAAACCAACGGTCGCAATGCGATCGAGGCTTGCGTACTCTTTCGACTTGATCCTTTGCATGAAGACTGCTTCTAGCTGCATAGATTAACAAGTTTTAGCAGATGGGTAGACTCTTGGCTCCTGATTCGCTCATGTCTAGTCGCACTGGTCAACCAGTTGATTCTCGGCTTGCCCCTCTCTCCGAACCAAGTGTCGCTTTTTCCCTCAGCCTCACGCCATGGAGGCGGGCATAGTACAGCACAACTAAGACGGCCGATGTGGGCCATGGCTATCCTGTTCCGTAGCCAGGAAGCAGTGCAACGAACGGTCAGTCTTTCGGAAGAAGAGCTGAGCATATAGCTCGCATTCTACTATGTACGATCGATTTAGCTCGCCGGAGCGATAGTCGCACTTGCTCACATGGTGCCTAATGATGCGTCCTGGTCGTTTGGTGACACGTCTATGGGGATGTCATGGAGATTCTAGATACGACAAACAGCTTCCTCCAGACACTACCTCCATCCAGATGCCATTATCTACCAAGTTTACCCAGAACACTGCTCTGTATCAACCCATGTACAAAACCTATGAGCGCCATAGAGTAGCTGATGATACGGTGAGTGGGAGATGATCAAATCGGCTCTCCAAATGCAAACCAGGCATCTTAGCACGACGTTTGGTAGAGATACACAAGGGATCCCCAATGCCAGCCATGCATGTCTGGAGACAATCGCGTGTCTAATAGCCTCTATCGCATGTACTCCCGATACAAGATCTGGTCATATGCTGAGAGCAGGTGTTTTTGTGCGTTCGGAATCTTTGTGGAGTGTTGTTGTCCACGCATGTCCTGCCCTTTACATGTGAGCATCATTCGTCGCGACGAGCATTTAGCCTACTCTAAAAGTACTGCCGTTGATGCTAAGACAGGGAAAGACAAGCCGCTACCAAAGTGCCGGTACTGTTGGACGCCTGAAGTTTTTCGGCGTGCTGGAGCCGACTAACTCGTCTGAAAAGGCCATGCATGACCGCATGCCTTTCACAGCAGAGAATGCGATGTTGGGGAGCAAGGATTTGGCGTCCGCGTGTTGGCTTACCTAGGTCATCCCCTGTAGCAAGACTGATACTCTGTGCTTAGTGAGAGATACTCGAGTGGACAGTCAAGACGTGATTCCGTACGTCTCGCAACAAAGTCGATGTTCGCCCTGGTGAGTTGGATACGTGAGAGAGAAAGCTAAGAAGCCGTTAAACACGGACCCACTGTTGACGTTTGGGTGACAAACAGGGGTGCAGGCGATCATGCTCTCCACCCGAGGCCAAATCTCTGGACAGCAACGAGCCGCTCCTGCTCACCCCACATATGATTTCATACCCTCGCTGGAGAGCGACATAGGACATTCACGTGAGCATCTCGTCGCGACGTCGCCTGGCTGCGATACCACGGTTACAGCCGCACCTCTGCTCTGCGCAGCCGTCGTCATCGCCATGCGACCCCCTGGCCGTTCGAGGTGACATAGGCGCTATCTCAAGAAATGTCAGCACCGTCCAGCCATGGCCGGCCCTCGGGAGACTCGGACCGCTGGACAACCTCCTCCCACACGTACATTGCCAGCAACTCGGGCGCATACACAGACAATGGCGAGGGGAGCTCGTCCCCGCGGCGAAGCCAAGATTCGCGGCCCGGCACAGGTGCAACCAACGGCCTGGGAGGAAGCGCAGCATCGGGGAACCTGCTGGCTAGGGACTCGGTGCACGAAGAAGACTTTGCGCGCCGGAAGCAGCGCGTGAGGAGATCTGGCGGCTTTCTCCTCGATTCAAACTTCTCCAGCGGGCCACGGCAACGCCACGCCAACCACGAGGCTCGCGGGGAGGACAAAGGAGGCAAGCGCAGCTCGCGACACTATGGCGCCCACGAGAAGGAGGCAGGAAGCTCGCCGCTGTCGCGAGAGGTGCAGCGAGACGGCCCCAATCCTGCTGCGCCCGGCGCAGCATCCCGCATCGACTTTGCCGATTCACAGGACCGACACGACGAGCGCATGCGCCTTGGCAAGACGAGGAGGAGTGCATACGATATGCCGTCCACAGTCCATGACCGCGATCCTTCGCCCAACACTGCGCCGCCACGGCAGGCCATTGATCCGAACCAGCTGGTACACATGGCCCTGAACCTGAGCGAGAGCCGGAGGAGACATACCAACACCGGCCAGCTTCTGTCGTCCCAGCCACGCGTCGCCTCTGGTTCGCAACGCGAAGGCAGCTTCTCCAACTATGGCGCTGGCGGCAGTCTGAAGCACTATCTCAACGAGCAACGGCGGACGTCACGCAATATATCCCCAATGGGCAAGAGCTCTCCTACCCGCCACATGTCTACCTCGATGCAGAGAAGCGGATCCATTGCCTTTCCCGTGTCCCAAAACATCAATCCCTCAGCTGCCACGCTTGCACGAGTAGAAAAGGCCCGCGCATACATCGAGCTCCGCATTGAGTACCTCCGACTACTGGAGTTCCTCCCGCCCCTGAAGCCCGACGCGAACGCCCCAGGCAACTTTGTCTTCACGTCGACCAACAGTCCAGGCAGTCCCCAAGCGCAGCTCACTCGTGTGCCGTCTCATGCTGGCAAACAGCATGAGCTCGGCCGGCCATACAACCCTCTGCAATACATTCGAAACCGCCGGAGCAGGGCTCGGGAGCGCTTGACGCTCCATCACTCTTCAGAGGAATTCGAGGATGTCGAGCAGGTACGCGAATGGGTAGATCGTGTGGAACAACAGGCCAAACGAGCCGGCTATCGTCGAGACGATGCGGTACAGCTACCCAAAATCCATCACGATCACGAAGTGGGACCGGCGCCCCAGAAGCCTGCAAGACCTCACAAAGGCTGGATCTTCAGCCCACAGGAGTTGCTTGCGGATGCACACTGGTTGGAGCAAGACGACAACAAAATGCTGGTAGAAAACCGCTATGGCCGAAGGGTCTACCCACCCAAGGAGGTGCAGCAGAAAGACTTTCTCTCACCACGCGCAAGCAAAGAATATTCTGGGGACCGAAGAAAGAGCTGGGTCGATGGCTTCCCCAGCATCGCAGTTGATCATACGACAGGCGATGAAAGCGACAAGGGCAGCGAGCGTGGGCGCAAGCGAAGGCTACTTCCAGCGCTGCGCACTGACAGTCCGAGAGGAGGCAAACATTCGAGGCGGGGCTCGCGACTGCGCAGCCATGATGATAGCGACAGTTCAGAGTCGGAATCCGATACCAGGAGATGGAAAGCTCGTATTGTCACTGATCCAGATCACAACATCGGTCCGCTGGCCTTGCTTCTAGAGCAACAAGCTAGACAGTCACTGAGCGAAGCCAGGCCACCCCCTGACTTCACGCCAGATACACCAAACAAGTGGGGTCGCAACGGAGACGTTCCCTCCGAAAGCAAGCCTCCCCGAGACTCGCTGGAAGTTCCCCGACCTACAAATGGCTTTGCATTTATCAAGGATCGTGGCAACTTCAAGATGCCGCCAAAGCCTCGTAAGAACCCTAGTCTATCCATCGATGATCCGGAGCCTCGATCGTCTTTTGATGATCAGGACAGCACGGCACCAAACACTCCACATGCCAAACGGTTCCCGCATATTGGCAGCGACTTATCACCGCCCCCAAGCCGATCCGAGTCACAGACAAGGAAAGCAAAACGAGGCAAGTTCAACACTATCTTTCATTCGCATGAGCATAGTGAAGACCACAAGCACGAATTGCGTCCGGACTCTGCTGGAACAGACAGGAAAGGAAGATCGCGGCAGACCAGTGAGGAAACGCCAGACGACAAACATATCGGCACAGCCATTTTAGCAGCTCCCGGTGCTGTCATGAATCTACTCGGTCATCGCAAGAACGATAGTGTCAGTAGCTTGCCTAGTCCGGACAAGCTCCGCCGCCGAGATGCCCAAGAGCCGCATTCTGCTGTCACTCGATTCTTCAAGGGCGTGAAGAACGAGGGTACAAAAGTCGGTGACATCATCTTCAGAAGAGACCGAGCCGATGACTCTGACGCGGACACCATGTCTGACCGTAACTCGATCGACTTTGATGACGACGGTCCGGTCAAAACCAAACATACCAAACGGCCCCCGATCAGTCGAACCGTCACGGCAGGTACAGACGGTAGCATCACAAACAAAGAACGTAGCCATCTGGAACTGCCCTCGTTCCGGCCGGTCCACACGATTGCCGACGAAAACTCGGATTATGAGCATCACATCTCACGTCAGGCACGAGAGCAAAAGAACAGTCGCTCGCTTCGGGTCGATCGGCTATTGCCACCACGCATGGATCTGGGCACGATATCTGGAAATTCTTCCACGGGGTCTCTCACTCTTACGCGCAGCCACAGCCAGGAGCGAATTAATCAAGTGCTCGCTCGGCCTGGTGGTGACATGGCGGGGCTGCCACCCACTGGACTAAGAGATGCAAATAGGCAGCGCAGTAGCTCTCGACCTGGCCTTAACAGTAGACATTGGAGCATCGCTGACGGTGACGATAATGCCGTTGATCGGAACAAGAGCGATGCGAACACAGTCACTCAGGCAGACATCGCTCGCGTCCGCGCACTCTTTCTCTGCTCAGGTGTCAAAGCGAGAGAGATTACACGACGAGCGAATTCTACAAGAGAACCGCCTCCCGACTTTCTTTCGCGCGCTGCCGCTACATCAAAAATGAAAATCTACCCCGTGCCGCGCAAGGAAGAACATGTTCTTGCCGCGCGCATACTAGTCAAGGACCTAGAGTCGTCGACCAAGGCTTTACAGACTTCGCTTGAGAGCTTCCGTGACAAAGCCATCCAGCAACTCACAAATCAGATTTCGGCTTTGCAATCTACGGTTGACTCAGACCTTATGCCGCGTATCCTAGAAAGCGGAGACAAAGCTGTGCGCATCACAAGTGAGGTATCTGGACAAGGTCCATTACAAGTTAAGCAAATCACAGACGAGATAGACCGCATGATTCGCACGCGCAAACGTAGAATGCGCTGGGTTCGGGGATTTGGATGGATGCTGGTCGAGTGGGCTCTTGTTGCACTCATGTGGTGTCTGTGGCTTATTGTTGTGCTCGTCGGGTCCGTCAAGAGAGTGTTTGGTGTGGCCATGGGAGTGATCCGGTGGCTGCTGTGGCTCTAGGTGTGCCCAGCAGTATTTCATTTGTTTCCTTGCATATGAGGATGTTAGGTGTTCCTGAACATCTCTCGCCTACGGAGTTTCGGGTCATGGGCAGCTCGACCGGTTTGGATACCGTGATACCACGCGCTTTAGAATGTTGTATGAATATTGGAAGGATTCATCTTGGTTTACATGGCGCACATAGATTTGTAATAACTTTAATTGAGTTCAAGATATGTACACCGCTCGCGCTGACTGCCTAAATCCTTCAAATACTTTCAGTGTCTGATTAGACACGTATGTTCTTGGTGTTGTTGGTTTTCGAGGTTGCTGTTTCAAGGTGAGTCGCACTTGTCTAGACCAATCCGCGCCACATGGCTGGGGCTGGGCGCCTGAACGCGTCGACGTCATAGGCGTCTTTGCTTGACAAGCTTCACCCTTCCCTCTCCACAACACTAATCAAACACAGGCAGAAGCGTGCAAAGCTTCCGCGTCACATCGTCTTCCGTTTTGCCAATCTCCGACCCTCTGCCCTGTATCGACATGAGACATTACTAATTATCTCTTGTTCGACCACAGATATCAGAGATGGATTTTCAGACGGTGTTCGTCGCCAAAGACAGTGACACCAGCCATGTCCAGTCAGTACGTACCTGCGTCTACAACCAGGCTTTACTCAAAGCACGTGTACTAACATACCCTGTCATAAGTCTAGCGGGCCATCTTCACTTGCAGCACTCGCAGCAGCTTTCATCCCTACGGCCATCATTGCAACTCTTTACATGGTCGCATTCGTCCTCATTAGACATCGCTTTCCCAAAATCTATTCACCACGGACGTACATTGGCACCGTGCCAGAAAAGGATCGCACGCCATGTCCAAAATCGTCGGGTTACTTCGACTGGATTCACACTATGAGAACTGTTCCGGATAAGTTTATGCTTTACCATCAGTCACTTGATTCTTACCTGTTTCTTCGTTTCATGAGGACTTTGATATTCATCTGCATAATCGGCGCTCTCATTACCTGGCCTGTTCTTCTGCCTGCCAATTGGACTGGCGGCGGCAGCTCGAAAGAGCTTAATCGCTTTGGCATTGGCAATGTGAAGAACAAGGACCATCTCTATGCGCATGCTGTTGTGGCCTGGGTGTTCTTCAGTTTTGTCATGTTCACGGTTGCGCGGGAACGACTCTGGCTCATTGGACTACGGCAAGCATGGAACCTGTCAAAACCGAACGCAAAGAGGTTGTCTTCACGTACCGTACTGTACCTCTCGGCGCCTACTACAGCCCTCGACGAGAGCAACATGCAGCGTTTCTTTGGAGAGGATGCAGTCAGAATTTGGCCTATCACTAAGGGTGAGAAGCTGGTATCTCTCGTCTCGGAGAGGAACTCCAAAGTCGAAGAGTTGGAAAGCGCTGAGATGTCTCTGATCCTGAATGTTAACAAAGAAGTCGGAAAGAGCCACAATCGAAACATCAAGTACGAGCAACTGCCGAAGCAGATGAAGAAATCTTTGCGGCCTACTCACAAATCCAAGACACCAGTTGTTGGCAAGGAAGTTGACAGCATCAGCTATTATCGGGATCAGATCAGAGAAAAAGAGGAAGATATCGAGAAGGCTCGCGAGTCGAATGAGACAGCCGAGAGTCTTGGTGGAGCTGCAGCAGTCTTTGTAGAGTTCCGCACGCAACTTGCGGCTCAGCGAGCGTACCAGCAGATCGCATCGGCTGACGTCCTTTCTCTTACGCCTCGCTTCGTCGGGACTATGCCCAACGAAGTTGTCTGGGCCAACTTAAACCTAGCACCTGCTCGTCGCATATCACAGAGTGGCGTCGCCCTGACTCTCGTAATCGCTACGATTGCGTTTTGGTCCATTCCAGTCGGCATAGTTGGTGCTCTTTCTAACGTTCAATATCTTGCCGAGAATGTTAAATGGCTCGCGTTTCTCAACAAGATTCCATCAGGGATTATGAGCCTTCTGAGTGGTCTACTCCCTCCACTGGTACTAAGCGCGTTAGCCAGATATGTACCGAACATCTTCAGATGTAAGTGTTTTCCACTTGCCGATATTGCTGTTCTATAGCTTACACAGCACAGACATCTTTACTACCTTTGGAGAGCCGACCAAGACTGTCATTGAGATCAAGGTCCTGAAGTGGTACTTCGTTTTCCAGGTACTCCAAGTCTTCCTTGTGACAACACTCGCTTCGGGTGCTGCGGCAGTAGCATCACAAATTGTTCAAGACCCAAGCTCGGTACCTCAACTTCTCGCAGAGCGTCTGCCAAGGGCATCAAACACATACCTCGCGTACTTTGTCGTCCAAGCTTTGACTAATGCCCCGAGCAACATACTGAACTACACCGATGTTCTCTCGTTCTGGTTCTTTGACAAGTTCTTTGACAAGACGCCTCGCCAGAAGTACAATAGCTACATCACAATGAGGGGCATGGCTTGGGGCAAGCTTTTCCCGAAGTATGGCAACTTTGTCATAATTGGTAAATTAACCTGAACACATCGAGTGGCATATTACTGATCTCTCGCAGCAATCGTTTACGCCTGTATTGCACCTCTCGTTCTTGGCTTCGCCGCCATTGGCCTAGTGATATTCTACTGGAGCTATCGATACCAGTTATTATATACCGCACAGTCCAAGATTGACACCAAAGGACATGCCTATACGCTCTCTCTGCAACAGATCCTTGTTGGAATCTACCTCGCTGAGATCTGTCTTATCGGTCTCTTCAGCTTACGCGACGCGACTGGTCCCTTAATCATGCTTGTCGTCCTACTCCTTGCTACGATCATGTTCAACTATACCACGAACCGCTACCTTGCTCCCCTCGAGCAGTTTTTACCTGCAGATCTTGCACTCGAATCTGGGGACGATGAGCAAGCGCCACTGCTATCTTCTGCAGAGGAAGGCGAGTCGGATGCTTTGGAGCACGCAGAGTCGAGGATCAATCGTATAAGCGAACGGACACGCGTACCACCCAAAGTTGTCTCACCACTGGCCCGCTTTCTGCAGCCACACATCTTCGGTAGCCATACTGCCTTGAAGGCTTGGCTGCGTGATGGCGATTTTGACGAAGACGAAGAACCACAATACAGCGAAGAGGATCTGAAGAAGGCATATCTCAACCCAGCCTTCACCAGCAAGACGCCCATAGTCTGGTTGGCCAAGGACAGTATCGGTGCTAGTAAGCACGAGATCAGTGAGAACGAGAAAACTGGGTTGAAGGCTACCGACCAAGGTGCATGGGTTACAGGGGACGGGAAATTGAAATGGAGTGTGGACAACTTTGAGGAGCTGCCAGTGTTCAAGAAGGCTATCAAATGGTGATCTGCTTCTACACTAGGTGTTACCTAAGTTGGAGCATGAAAAGCGAGTATACGACTTAAAAAGCGAGAACACGTAATAGTGGAATAAAGAGAGATTTCACCAGTCCTAATCTTAACAAAAATTGACACTCGTGAACTAAGATCAGGTACTATCTACTCATTCATCTTTGTCTGGATCAGACTGCTCTTCAAAAAGTTTCTGTCCTTTCTCCAGAAGTCCCTCATCATCCTTACCATCGTCCTCTAGCCCGGCCAGCACCGCAGTCTTTCTATAGGCCAACGACTTCACTACGCTCTCCTTGAATATCTTCATGGTATTTCCGTAGGCTGGGTTCTTCTTGGGAAAGTAAGGGAGGCAAGCTAGGTCCTTTGGTGTCAAGTTGTACCTGTTCTTACACTCAGTTTGGTTGATGAGATCGAATGGCTCTTTGGCGAGTCTCTCGTCCTCATCAATAGAGTTTTCGGATACGTAGGCTGCCCATTTCTGCTTCGGTGTCTTCTCCTTTTCCTGTTTCTTGGTTTTGGCTGGCTTGTCCTCTTTCTTTGGTTTCTCAGTCTTGGCTGGCTCATCTGCGTTCTCATCTCTTGCCGTGTCCTTGTCTTTAGTTTCACTTCTCACAGACTTCTCTTCCTCTACATCGACATCGTCCTTGTGCTCCTCAGTCCACAACTGCTTCCCTTTCTCAACAATTTCCTCATCGTCTCCTTGGGCGCCCTCCAGTACACCTATCTTTCTAAACGCCAGCTCTCTTACATCCTCCTCTAGGAACAACTTCATCATACCTGGGTACAACGGGTTCTTCTTCTCGAATCGTAGCAGTGAATTCAATTCACCTTTCTTCACGCCATACTTCTTGAGCGCATCAGTTTGAGTGATGCTCTCATCCTTACCCGGCTCTTCTTCTAGCATCTCGCCCTCGATGTCGTGGGAAGAGAGCCATTCTTGCCAGGCTTTTTTGTGGGCAGCTTTGTCGGCTTCTGCTTTTTTCTCTTGTGCTTCTGCTGCGAGTGTCGTGGGGTCTTTCTTTTGGCGTTTGGGCTTTGGGGCTGTGGAAGTCGTCATGGCATCATTTTGGTTGCCGATCGCGTCGTCGTTCTCATTATCGGACTCTGCGGCGCGCTTCTTGGTAACGTCTTTCCGCGGTGCCTTCTTCGGTACCCCGGCCGCCTTTGGTGTCTTCTTGGTGGTGGTCACACCTTCCTTCGAGTGCGCCGTTTTCGTTTGCTTCTTGGCCCTTTTTTTCTTGTCCTCGAAGTCTGAGCCTTCTGACGCAGAGGTGTACTTCACCTCTTTAGTCGCGCGACCGGATCTGCGTGTCGACATGATCGGAACTAAGATATTGTGTTCTCTCGTTCAGGTACGGGGATTGCACGCAAGTGAGTATGGTCGCCCAATCAGAAAATGCCGTGCAGGTATCTCGTCAAGGTGAACAACATGAACGTCAATCCTTCTAAAATACGATAGCGATAGAAGAAACTGGTTCGGCTATATAGCGATAGCTTATCTAATTTTTCATCTCCCACAACAAGAAAGGACAAAGCAGGTTTCACGTTGCAGTGCTCCTGCCGGATTAGATTGGGCAAGTTCGTTCAAAGGAACGCTTGGGCGTACGCACGCGCAAGGGGGTTGTAAGATTGGACTGCGTCATTGCGGCGATCGCGACGCGAAAACCATGT